TTCACGAGAAGTATATGCTCAGGCCCAGTCTTAATTCAGTAGACTGGGAATAGGTCTTGATCTCCTGATTCACAGTTGGCGCCCACGCGTTTGCCGCTTGCATTTGAAATGCGTCAGTGCAGAGAACCCACCACAGGCCACACTGAGGGACAGGTGCTTTGTGGTCAGGGCAGCTCCCGCTGCCCGGCTGGCGCTTGTACAGCCGTCCTCCTCACTCCGCGGCCTGTAGCCTTCCCGCTAGTTAGCGCGTGCCCGACCCCTCCCGCTCGCCAGCTGGCAACGACATCATAGCAGCGTGACATACAGTAAATATGAAGTTCAGTGTTTTAATACTTAGACCGTGTCTATTTTGCACAACATTAACTTCCCTGAGGATTATCAAATTTAAAGTCTTAGGTGGTTAAAATAATTTTAAATAACTTGGTTTCTTTAAAATGATTTTAAATATTTTTAAATGTAGAGAGATATAGTAATCTACTTACAGATCTTAAAATCTAGTGACTTTAAGGCTTTTTACTTTTGTTAATTAAACTACTGTTACAATACCTTTTTCTTTAGTCTTAACTAATGTTAACATGATACTTGATAAAGTTCTACAAGTCATAGGCACAATATATAAACCAAAATATGACTTACATATGTGTTTTTTGATGAATCACCTTCCTTTTATTTGGGCCGCATTTTGTGGGTGATGAATTGCCAAGCTATAGTTCCCTTGAAAACATGAAATTAGCAGAAACTACCTCAAAATGCGTATGGCTGTGGCCTCATGAGCAGCCACACATAACATACACTGCCTCGAGGATCCCTTTCGTTTTGCTGTGCATTCCCAGAAAGGCTCAGATTCGCTCAGAAATAGCGCGTATGTTAAGAAAGGATGGGTTTATTATGCTTTACAGTTTTACTGAGAGTAAGAGCTGTAGCCACATAAGCAGAACACATTTTACTGGTTTTCAGTCCATAGTATATCACTCAGTAAAACATCTTAGCGGCTGGAAGGAGAATTTCCCTTATCAGTAACTCTAGGACTTTTAACATACGTGTGTCTTAAGAAAGGAATTGCTTTGAAACAGGAAAGTGGTAACTATTTTATACTGGAAGAATCTTGGCAAGATTCAGATGCTTCAGAGCTGTAACTATGGTTTTTTAAAAAGAGGTATTTATTGATGCACACAGAACTGGGGCACAGGCCAGAGGGGATTCATCCGAGACAGAGCGGGGAGCAGGGCAGGCCGACTGAGAGGCGCAGCGGGCGGGTCAGGAGAGGTCTGCTGCGCCGTTTGGGTCTCCTCCGGGGCTGGGATCGAACTCGTGCTGAAGTGGCTCTAGTTTCTCAGTGCTGCATTTTAACCCGCTGCGCCACCAGGGAGGGCCCAATTATGATTTTATTTAAACATTTAGTTCAAGTATCCAGTCTTTTGTAGTTGCCGTATTTGTATTTCTAAACTCGCCTTATGTTAAAAGGTTGAGGACTGAGTTGTATAAACTAATTGTAGATCAAATTGCATTATGACCAAATGTAAGAAACTGGGTTCCTCCTCCAGAATGATGGCCTCGAATGCTGGTAATATGTTACTTGAGACGTGGAAATACTTCAGTTGTTTGCCTCTGTGCTTATTTTGCTATTTTAGTTGTTTTACTCTGTTCGCCTTGAAATTCATAACAAAAGTTACAAGAACGTTTATTTTAACTGGTCTTTATAATATTTCAAGAATAGAGTGATTTCCTCAAGTAATGACATTTTAAAGATGAGGGGGGAGTGTGGTATTTTGAAGACTGAAAAGTATGCAAAGTTTAGTTTTTAAATATTTTGTGATCTGTCTCCATTAGGATAACGACACCAATATTGAACTGTACTTGTATGAATCTTTGGGGAAAAGTAGCTTGTGGATTTCTTAAACCTTAATGTTCAACAAATGGGAAACCGTTTGTGGTTGTGTAGAGCTAACACCCATTGTCAGGTTTGTCTCAAAATATATTGCTTGTGGTACTTTGACAGGCAACACAGCAGTTCTGCACTACAACTGCATTTGTGTGGTGTTGTCGTTTGTTAGCATTGAATTACAGTCAGCTTCAAATGAGTGTGTGCCACTATGAAAATAAATTCTTGTCTCTGTCAACATTTGGAGAAATCCCTGGAGGTACCCAGTATACCACAGAGGGTGGTTCAGTAAGCGCCCACCAAAAGAAGGGGGGACGTTTTCAACAGACGCTGCCCTTCTCTCTGCTTAGTATTCAGCTAGAGGTATTTTAAGAACTTTTTATTCATTTCAACCAAATACATTTTGTCACATTTAATAGCGTTTTACTCAACCAAAACTGTTGCAAGGGAGGACTGAAGAGACATAGGGATGAGCCGTAGCCGCTGCAGCACCAGCCGGACCCCGGCCCGGGAGGGGCCCCAGGACGCGCGCAGCAGCCCTCTCCGGTCCCCCGCTGCTCCCTCAGCCGTGGGCCTCAAGGGGTCCGCCTGTGCTGCTCCCCACTCTGTTGCTGGGGAGCACTCTGACCCTCCACATCTCTGGCCTGTACCCCAGTTCTTATGCAAAAACAATAAATCCTTAAGAAGAAAAGAGGAGGGTGCACCCACCCGTGGCCGCAACCAGGCGCACGTGGGTCAAGTGTGTAAGTGTTGCGCCTGCTTCGTGCCAGGTGACACGGCGCTCCTGCGGAGGGACACGTGAAGCAGGAGCTCGCCCACAAGGCTAGCGACGGGTTACGGTGCGCCGAGTCTTACAAGAGAAGCAAGCACTGAGCAGTCTGGAAACAGACGGGAGGAAGCACTGAGGGAACCTGGAGTCTCCCAGGCAGACAGATAGCTGGCTCTTGACACTTTCAGTCAGGTCGGTCAGTTGGTCAAGCAGGACAGCGGCTCAAGCAGATGGCGCAGGGGCACAAGCCAAGGCGGTCAGAGAGCCTCAGCTACTCAGCGGGGCGGGAGCAGCCAGCGCCGAGGCGTGTGAGGGGTGGCGCGTGTGCTCGCTCGCAGGGCCGTCCTCCCGGAGGCTGGGGCCTGAGCCGAGCGGCTGTTGAGGATTTGTAGCAGGGAAGTGGCATGCAAGGTGCACTCGGGAGAGACTGTGGCGACGCTGTGGGAGAGTGCAGGGACTCCGAGTGTCGGGTCTCTAAGGTGACGCTCCGCGCGAGTGGGTGGAGCAGCGTGAAAGTGGTCCTGTTGGCACAGCCTGGCTCCGGGGTGTAGCTGCAGGTGGGTTTTCACTGTCCCACCTGTCTGCGTCCGTGCAACGCACCCCCTTCTTTCCCTGACTCCCTTTCTGTAAAAACAAGCATGGAGTCTTAGGATGACTGTCAGACAGACACGAGTGAGCCCTGTCTTCTTAGGGTGACCCTCGCTGGCCGAACAGTGGGCTTGGGAACGCTTGGCGCCGGCGTGAGCCCACGCTCTCTCTCGGGCCTGCGCCTCGCTGGGGCCAGTCTGGGCCTCTTCTAGAGCCCTGGGGCGTGGGTGCTCAACTGCCTGCCCACCCCGGTGCCCGGTGACAGTTAAAGACACACAGCAAAAGGCAAAGATAGTGTGAAACTCGAGGTGTCCGGTCATGAGGGTTGGCCTCCAGAAAGGGTAGAGAAGTATTGCGTCCCTCAGCTGTCGCTTACACTGCCGCCTGCCTCACTCTGCACACCCTGTCGACAGGTGTCCTGCGAAGACGGCCGTGAAGGCACGAGGCCTGGGAGGCCTGCGCCAGCCATCACCCCACGCGGTCCATCGCCCCCACAGGACACTAAGGGTCAATATTAAAACTGCTCTCCGCTTTGCCTTGGGGAGGGGACGCAGCATATTAATCTGACACTGTGACTCCTGCATATAGAACATTCCGTGGTAGAGACTGTGGCTACCTGAGTAAACAGAGATTATAACTGCAATCACAAAACAGGTCACCATAATTTACCTCCACAATTTGAATACGCTACACTGTGGAGTTCCCGCCGAAGAGCACTGCTGACGTGAGCCGGCAGGGTGAACCTTTGTGACCACCACAACTATTTCCCCTAATGCAGATAAGCAGTAAGCAAGCTTCGAAAAGCTTCCATTTCCCTAGTACTCATAAAAGTGTGTTGCAAGTATTTTTACATGCAACTAAGCCACCAGACTTTGGAGTGCTTTGCCACAGAACTAAGACAGATAGCTTTCTGCTGCCCAAAAGTTAAGTTACCTCTGAGACCCACATGTCTGTATCAGCCGTTGCAGAGTCTGCAGACTCTCGGCGTGTGGATGGTGAAGTACTGTTGGGTTCAGGACAGGGTAGCGTTATGTGGTGCCATTTAAAATGATTCTGTCCTGAGAATGGGCACCGTGTAAACTATGCTGCTACTGTGTTTTATTTGAAATCCTAATTGGTTTCATTCAAAATGGAAGATAGCAGGAGAATTAACCTACTGATAATTTCGCCCTTGTCATCGAGAAATACTGGATTTGCATGATGTCAAGGAAGGGCTGGGAGAAGTAAAAGCACACGTCACCAGAGCTGCCGCCACGAGCGTCTGCTCACAGGCCCACGTGCCTCTACCCACCCGCCGTCTAGATTGGCCGGCCGCCGGGGCGAGGGCGGCTCCCGCAGAGGCACGGCGGGGGGGCCAGCCAGCGTGGGCCCCCGCTGGCCTCTGCTCAGCCGCCGGCCGGCCGGCCGGGGTGCAGCGCGGGGTGTGCAGACAGCCCGTAATTTCCGCAGGCGAGAAGAGAAGGGAGGAGGCCCGAGCGCCCCCAGGTAGCAGGCAGCTTGTTGGGGTTCGAGTTCACGCGGATCTGGCGCACACACGCGTGTTTTCATTTACTCTAAGTAATGGGTCTGAAATTGGGGCCAAATAGTTGAGCGCATCATTTGAGAGTTATTCAACCAGTTACTTCTTAATGCAGTAAATCACCATTTAAATGTTTCTGTGTGTGACTATTGCAGATTGCTTTGTTTCTCTTCATTTTAACATGTTTTGAGGAAAGTAAATACGTGGCTTCTTTGGCTTGAAATGCATTTTATCTTTTGCAGTGTTTGAGCAACACACCTCCACTTACTGAATATTTCCTCAATGATAAATATCAAGAAGAACTGAATTTTGACAATCCCTTGGGAATGAGAGGTGAAATAGCTAAATCTTACGCCGAATTGATCAAGCAAATGTGGTCTGGAAAATTCAGCTACGTCACACCAAGAGCCTTTAAGGTCAGTGCGGCAAATGCCTTCAGAGAGGGCTGTCTCATCTGCACAGGGACAGGAATCACAGCTGCCAGAACAGCGGGGCCTGCAGAGGGCCTGGCAAGCCAGAGAGGAGCCGGCAGAGTGCGGAAGGGGCGCCCAGAGACCCCCAGAGGCTGCGGGGTGCGCAGGGGGTGGCCCGGGGAAGTGCGGGCGGAGGCGGGAGGGCGGAGGCGGGAGGGCGGCTCTTGCTTCAGGCTGCGTCCAGGTTTGGGACGACCTGCAGAAAGATTTTTACAAATGACAGGTTAAACTTGGCCATGCCCTGGAATTCTTTTGGAATCCTTGTTTGACTAGTCTTCAAGACAAGCACTAAATTGAAGTAAACAGATTTGTAGTACAGTTCTAAAACTTCAACTTTTATTTTCTTTGAATCAGTAAAACCTTTAGTAACTTAGCCTGTCATTCAACTAAGAACTACATGAATTATAACGTTTTCTTAGAAACAGAGTTCGTTTCTAAGATCAGATATATGAGAAATTTTATAGATCAGATATATGAGAAATTTTAAGCTTTTATATGAGAAATGTTATAGATCAGATATATGAGAAATTTTAAGCTTTTAAAGAAAAGGTTTCCAGCCATTATTTATAGAAACAAATGACTTTCATATAGCGCTTCTACTAGGCAACATTTAATTAACTAGTATGTGAGGAGCTAGTTAGTACTAGTAAGTTAACTAGTTTACGATAAACTGGGTAAAAATGGCAAGTTAGAAAACACATGCCTTTGTCTTCTTTAAGTTTCGAAACTTTTTTACTTTTGGAACAGGCTACTTCAGAAAACCAGCTGTTAACCCTTACCCATGATTCCATTTAGTTTTCTTTTACTAGATATTCTCCTTTAAAATTGTGTGTAGAGTCTTGATATCTGATTTTTTATTCTTTCACATTTGTTTCCAGTCCCATCAAAAAAAGATGATTATTAACGCAAAGTCTAGGAAAATTGGGAACACAGTATTTGTTATCACTATTAAATTCATCCTCTTTTTATACAGATACTAAATGACAGTAGTAATTTTTCTAGTGACCCAGGAATATTTTGAACGTTAGTGGTCTTCATTGTCTCCCAGTTCGTACAAAACTTTGCCCTATTTTCTCATTCTTTTCTCAGTCAGTGTTTCTCTTCTATTTTATCCATCATTTATTTTAAAAGCGGCTCTAAGTGGGTAGAGTGGGAGTGTGGCCTGAGCTGAGCCATGTTGCCGCGAGGCGGCGGGCGGCGGGAGCTGGGCTGAGAGTCGTCCGACCGCCCTGGCCGCCGGCAGCAGCAGCTGCTGCTGGGAAAACCGCAGCGCCGGCCGCTGCTTGTGCACCGGCGAGCCCGAGGGCCTGTGTTGGCTCGTTGGCCCCGCTCCACTTTGCTGACGCTTCCGAGCGCTCGGAACAAGGCCGGCATGTTCCTAGCGTGCAGCGCCGCGCACACGCTCCAGCGCGGAGCCGGGGCCTGCGCGGCCTG